TGTGCGAGGTTCACTGCCCTGTTGCGCGGTAAACGCTGAAGTGACGCGACCGCGACCTTCCAGGGTCAGCACTGGTAGCTGCAGATAGGTCGCGAGAGCCCGAATGAGAGCTGAAGTGTGCACGTGGCGAGAGCGTCCTGCGTACCTATGCAGGAAGTGGTGAAGCTGTCTCGGCGTGGAACTGTTGCTTCTTGCTTATGCTGAAAGCGAGGTTGAGCAAGTCTAGCGGTGTGTGCATAGCATGGAGCGGCGGCAGTAGTTTCCCTGCACTTGTCCGCAGAAGATTCGCTGGCCCAGCAGCTACCGGTGCATTGCAGGCTTGCCAGATGACACGTTTGCCAGTGGGGGCAACGCATGCAACTGCACAGGAGCAAGCGATGCGGATATGTCGGCGTGAACCAAAGTGCACTTGCTCACATGGTCACCTGCCTTCTCAAGCACACAGGCACAATGGCAGCTTCACATGCCGATGTTGTCGTGCAGCGCAGCACCGGCAACCCAATTAAGATGACTTACTTGGAGGATACGTGCGATCCGCGTTGGCGCCTTTCTCATTGCAAAGGAGTCCGTCAGACTGCTGGGACTGCTGAGCTCGACTGGATATTCCAGCATCTATGCCGCTGTGATGGCACACTGTGCATTCATTCCAACCAATTTTCCAGCTGGCCTCAAGGCTACACATGTCTCCATTCACTCGTTAGCAGAATTGTGGCTGGTTCAGCGGGTATCCTGGCAAGGTGACGCAGGTGTCTTTGGGGGGGGCAATGCGTTCAGCTGCAGCTATAAATGGTCCCGTTGGCACGCTTTAGCCTTAACAGCCTGTGTTGGAGGGGCCTGTACACGCACGCTCCCGTGCAGTTGTGTCACTTTTCCCCTTTAAGCCAGTTTTTGCCCTGATGTTGTGCGTGAAGGCCTCCCAGGCGATGCCACAGACAGTCTGTGCACTGGCAACGTCCGCGTGCTGGGCCTGGGATAAAAGGACGCCGGCAGCTTAGCCGTTTGCACAAACCAGCAAGGGCGGCACATGACATCAGCAACAAGCTGTTGAGAGCGGAAATGTGGTGTGGTCAAGAATGTTGCGCCAGTGTGGGCAGTATGTTCCTGTAAGCGACAATGCTTGTGTGTGCCCGCAGTCGTAGGGGCACAGGTTGGCAAGCCGGTGCAGTGTTTCGAGGGTCCGAAGAAGTTCCCTTGCCAAAACAATTCCTGAGGATCGTCAAGCAGCAGCGTGCAAAGCACGTGCTCGCTTCCTGCCGGGAGACGTCGCCAATTGCCAGTCTTTGCAACATCGCCTGCTTGTTTACGTCGACCGGGACCCACTGTGCCAGGGCTCAGAAGGAACAGCTTCTGGTTGTCCAAGACCCTACTTTCGGGTGCGTGCCGCACGCTGTCCAACTTGGAGAACATGAGCCTTGATTCATATGACTGGCCCGTATTTTCTTTATTGCAGATGGTTCTTGAATCTTAACCGAAACACTAGAAATCGAGACTAGCTTCCAACATCTTGCAATATAATCCCTTGGACCGGTACGAGTGTTTTAACATGTTTTCGCAAGGAACGTCCGTCGTCAATGCTTGAGTTTGTGCAATGAGGCATTCCTATCAGGAATCAGGAAATTGTTTTTTTTCTGCAGCCCCGCGTAGTTGGCTTGAGTTGTTGAGCCCATGTTCCATTATGCTGGGCCAGTGTTTGCATGATGTTGCTCTGAACGCGCACCTACGCAACGCGCATTTGTTCCCACAGTCACATAGGAGTACAGCGGGTACAGGTTTGCAGGCCATGCGGAGTTGAAGCAGGTCCCTCACCCATACCATTCCCGAGGATCGTCAAGCAGCAGCGTGCAATGCACGTGCTCGCTTCCTGCCGGGAGACATCGCCACTTGCCGGTCTTTGCAGCATCGCCGGCGTGCTTGCGTCTCAGGAGTTCCCGAAAAGAACTGTAGCGGCTTGTCCCTGCTGTGGCGCGCTCCGGGCCAACCTGCAATGTGGTCCCCTGTGGCAGCACCCTGCGCATTGCAAGGTCCAGAGATGAAGCTGTTGGGAGCACCAACGTCTTGTCAGGACGCGCAGCTGCGCAATGCTTGTGTGTGTCCGCAGTTGCAGTGCTTCGAGGGTCCGAAGAAGTTCCCTTACCAAAACAATTCCTGAGGATAACACCAAGGTGCGGCAGGCAGCGCACTTGATTGCAGAATCCCGGCCACAATCGCCAGTCGCCAGTGTGGGTGGCAGCACGTTCTTTAGAGCTTCGGAAGAGTCCTTCCCGCCGGGTGGACGGGCCGGGTCCCGCTGTGCCCGGGCTCAAGAGGAGCATCCTCTGGTTGTCCAGCACCTTACTTTCGGGTGCATGCCACACGTTGTCCACCTCAGAGAGTATCAGCAGTAAACGTATTGTCCAGTCATGAGCATGCCCATCACCCATCAGCTGTCGAGCCTTGGTCCATACGACTGGCCTGGAACTCTTGCATTGCAGTTGGGTTCCGGATATTCGTGGAAATGCTCAACAGCACGACCCCAATCAGGAGTAAACAGCTTCCCACCTTTTGTGAGATGTTCCGTGGGGCTCGTTCGGGGTATTGCTCTTTCTTTTTTCTCACATGTCTTGCACGGGACGCCTCTCATCCTTAATGCCGTTTGCGCAGTCGGGCGTTCCTTTCAGGAAAGTGGCTTTCCACGCAGCCATCATGCCCAACATGACACAGTCGGTTTGAGTTCGTTGAGTGGCCGTCCATGTTGTTGCATCCTCTGCTTCATGAACCTGGTCAGAAGTATGTGCAGTGCTGCATGCAACGGTTTTTCTACAAGATGTGCAATTGTGGCATGGAAAAGCTGTTAGGAGCACCAAGCCAGTGTTGGCTTGATGTTGCTCTGAGCCTACGCAATGCTTGTCTGTGTCCACGGTCATAGCAGTACAGGTTTACAAGCCATTGCAGTGCTCGGCTCGCTCAGTGCCAAGCCTCAAGAGGAGCATCTTCTGGCTGCCCAACACCCCACTTTCGGTTGCCGAACCTTGTCCGAGATGGAGAGCATGCGCAGTATTGAACTTGCAATAGCAGCATCCGGTCACAAGCATGTCCATTGCCCAGGGACGGCGGAGCCTTGAAGAGTATGATTGGAAAACCACGTTCCGTCAGCAGCAGCTTTCAACCTTTTACGAGATGTTCCGGTGGACTGGTTCGGGGATTTGTTCTGCATTCTATAGTCTCACTTTTGCACAAGTGCAGTTTTGCACAGTTGGGCATTGGGCATTCCCGAACGTCCCCTTTGGCTTGAGGTGCTGAAAGTTCCTTCCATGTTCCATCCTATGCCCCCGAGGCTTCATGAGCCTGGCCAGAAGTGTATGCGCGACGGTGCAGCAGCTTGTCTGCCAAGATGCGCGCTTCAGGCACGAACAAGCTGCTGGGAGCGCCAGCGCATGCTGGGCCGCAGTGCTGGGCCAGTGTTGGCTTGATGCTGCTGTAAACTTGTAAACCCGCACTTGCACAATGCTTGTGTGTGCCCGCAGTCATAGGAGTGCAGGTTTGCAATCCAAGGCATGAATTCGAGAGTCCGAAGAAGTTCCCTCACCTGTATGATTCTTGAGAATACTGAAGGTGCAGCATGCAACTCACCTGCTCGCTTCGTGTATGTCGCCAGTCGCCAGTCTTGGCAGCATCGGCTATTTGCTTGCGTCTTCGAAGGAGCTCCGCAAGTCATCCTGACGGGTGGACGGGCCGGGTCCCACTGTTCCCAAGCTCAGGAGGAACATCCTCTGGCTGTCCCCACTTTCGGGTGCATGCCACGCGGCAACTTCGCAAGATCGAAATCCAGTCACAAGCATGTCCATCACCCGGGAATTGTGGAACCTTGGTTCACAGGCCTGGACTTCTTGAACAGCAGGTGGCCTTCAGACGCTAGCGCAAATGCCAGACAGCGAGATCTCGTGAGCAGCAAGAGTTTCCATCCTTTTGCGAGATGTTCCTTTGCACTGGTTCGGGCTATTGCTCAATCTGTTCTCTCCTATGCGAGCGTCCCATCGTCAATTACTGCAATGTTCGCAGCTGGTCTTTCCAAGCAGCCAGAAGGCGCTATACACGCAGCCAGAATGAGCCACATATCTGGCATGAGTTGTGAGTTCCTTCCATGTTCCATCCAATGCCCACAAGGAGTCTGGACCTAGGCAGAAGCATGTCCAGTGCAGCAGCTTTTCGAAGATGCACGTTTGTGGCTTCGCTCTCGGAGCGCCCGTGATGCTGGGCCAGTGCTTGCACGATGTTGGTTGCTCTGGATGCGCACCTACGTCCTCGGTCCTAGCAGTACAGGTTTGCAGGCCATTGCAGTGCTTCGAGGGTCCGAAGAAGTTCCTTCACCCATCCGGCAGACTGCTGAGACTGCTGAGCTCGACTGGATATATTCCGGCATCTATGGGTCTGTGATGGCACACTGTGCATTCATTCCAACCGAATTCGGGGCTGGCCTCAAGGCTACACTCGTCTCCATTCACTCGTTAGCAGAAGAGTCGCTGGTTCAGCGGTTATCCTGGCAAGGTGACGCAGGTGTCTTTGGTGCGGGCAATGCAATTTCGAGCTGGCGTCAAGACCCACTGCTGCCAAGTCAAGGGCGGTGGGGATGCCACAGTCTGCAGGCAAAGTCCGCACCTTGGGCCGCCTCCTAGCTAGCAAGATAGGAGAAAAGGATGCTGCCGGCTTAGCCATGTGCACAAACCAGCAAGCCTGCTGGCTGCAGGCGAGGGAGCCAGCCACTTCCCATTGCCATTCGCGCTGTGGGGCGGCAAGTGACGAAGCTATTTATCAAATCGTCGAGTATGTCCATGTTGCACATTTATTGGAATCGTGCGACATCATTCGACACATGGCGACAGCGCATTAGGTTCGATCCTTCAATAGCCATCGGAGTTCATTGTGCTGTTGTGTGTCATAAGAATCGCGAAGTTTTGGGACCGCCACGGTCTTGTGGTGAAGACCGCTGTGCCAGCATTGGCAAGATGTTGCCGTAAGCGACAATGCTTGTGTGTGCCCGCAGTCATAGGAGGTACAGGTCTGCAAACCATTGCAGTGTTTCGAGGATCCGCAGAAGCTCTCCCACTACATGCAACTCACGTGCTAGCTGCATGCCGGGAGATATCGCCCGTCGCCAGTCCGGGCATCATCGCCTGCTGGTCTGCCTCCTCGGAGGAGTTCCTCCAGATGTGTGCACGGACTGCATCCCACTGTGCCACGACTCAAACGTTTGCAGCGTGCTCGCGTACGGCTATCGCCACTATGTCATGTATGTGCAACACCCGTTCTTGTGCAATCAACCACCTGTTGCGCGGTTTCCCGCATTCCCGGGCCAGGTCACGCCACATCTCGGAGCAGGTGCCAGGGAGTGCCTTGCGCAATTACGGGGAGGTGCCCGAGGGCGGCGTGACACTTGTGGCGTGGAGCTGTCTGTTCATGCTCGCTGACAGCGAGGTGTAGCTGCTGTGTAGCTGTGGCAGTGGTTGCCAGTGGTTGCAACCACATCAAGAATTGACCTCAGACCCCTACTGCAGCCAAGTTCAGGATGCAGGGATGAGGCGGCCGCTTCGCTTTCGAGCAACTTCGTCCTAGAAAGATCTCCCTTCAGAGGGGTACTGTCCGTCTGTCCAACTTCCGGCGTGGTTCTCGACCTGCAGTTACGTGACAGCCTAGAGGGGGCTGTTCCGAGCTTGTGATGTGCCTGTCGTGCATGCGCTGCGTGTTGGTCCAGCAGCCCTGAGGGCCGGGACAGTGGTTTACCTTCCTCCAAACGTGTAGCCGTGTAGCTCTGCGTGAATAGGTCCAGACCTCCGTCTTCCCCTCCGGGCGGAAGCTCGCAAGGCGGACAGGCATGCCGCAGGCATTCGGCACCATGGCAGCCACAGGCTGGGCCGTTGGGGCCATTGTGACATGGGCTCGGGCAGCTTGCCTGCGTGCCCCGTCACGTCTGCCACGCTGTGCCGGATCCGCTCCTGGGCTTTCCTGGCCGCCGCGCGCAGCTTGTGTGACATGTAGGGCGGAGCATGCAGGGCACACTAGAGGATCTGCTATATACCGGCGTCTCCGCGCCTTCAAGTCTTTAGAGCGTGGCTACCAATGCTGGAGAAGACTACCCGGCATCGCGGCAGGCGTCAGCCACACACCAGCGAAGCAAGGGTGAAGAGTGCACGTACTTCTTGTGACTGTTGTGATCTGTTGTGCAGTTACGACCTACGGAGAGGCGTGGGCGTATGTGAGCATCGTGGTGGTGTTATGTGTTTCCTCATGCCTGATAGCGAGGTGTAGCTGCATGCGGTGAAGACAACGACATGCCTTCTCCTCCCTTGTGCCTCGTCATCCATACTCGTGTGCGAGGTTCGCTGCCCTGTTGCGCGGTAAACGCTGAAGTGACGCGACCGCGACCTTCCAGGGTCAGCACCGGTAGCTGCAGATAGGTCGCGAGAGCCCGAATGAGAGCTGAAGTGTGCACGTGGCGAGAGCGTCCTGCGTACCTACGCAGGAAGTGGTGAAGCGATCTCGGCGTGGAACTGCTTCTTCTTACTTATGCTGAAAGCGAGGTCGAGCGAGTCTAGCGGTGTGTACATAGCATGGAGCGGCGCAACTGCAAGGAGCAGGCGATGCGGATATGTCTGCGAGAACCAAAGGGCACTTGCTCACATCGTCACCTGCCTTCTCAAGCACACAGGCAGAATGGCAGCTTCACATGGCGATGTTGTCGTCCAGCGCAGCACCGGCAGCTCAATTAAGATGACTCACTTGGAGAATACGGGGGACACGCGCTGGCGCCTTTCTAGTTGCAGAGGAGTCCGGCAGACTTCTGAGACTGCTGAGATCGATTGGATATTCCAGCATCTATCCCCCTGTGATGGCACACTGTGCATTCATTCCAACCAAATTTCGAGCTGGCCTCAAGGCTACACTTGTCTCCATTTCACTCGTTAGCAGAAGAGTCGCTGGTTCAGCAGTTGTCCTGGCAAGGTGATGCAGGTGTCTTTGGGGGGGGGGGGGGGATGCGTGCAGCTGAAATTATAGCTGGTCAAGTTGGCACGCTTTAGCCTCAACATGCCCGTCCAACACGGGCCTGTACGTGCACGCGCCCGTGCAGTTGTGCCATTCTTCCCCGTTAAGCCAGTTTTTGCCCTGATCTTGTGCGTGAAGGCCTCGCAGCGATATTGAATAGGACAGACTGTTGGATAGGCACTCTGCGCCCTGGCAGCGTCCGCTAAGAAGATGGGAGAAAAGCATGCCGGCCTGCTGCAGGCGAGGGCACTTCCCGCCATTCGTGCAGTAGGGCGGCACATGACATCAGCAACAAGCTGTTGAGAGCGCCAATGTGGTGTGGTCAAGAATGTTGCGCCAGTGTGGGCATGTTCCTGTAAGCGACAATGTTTGTGTGTGCCCGCAGTCGTAGGGGCACAGGCTGGCAAGCCGGTGCAGTGTTTCGAGGGTCCGAAGAAGTTCCCTTACCAAAACAATTCCTGAGGATCGTCAAGCAGCAGCGTGCAAAGCACAAGCTCGCTTCCTGCCGGGAGACGTCGCCAATTGCCAGTCTTTGCAACATCGCCTGCTTGTTTACGTCGACCGGGACCCACTGTGCCAGGGCTCAGGAGGAACAGCTTCTGGTTGTCCAAGACCCTACTTTCGGGTGCGTGCCGCACGTTGTCCAACTTGGAGAACATGAGCCTCGATTCATATGACTGGCCCGGCCTGTCTTTATTGCAGATGGGTCTTGAATCTTAACCGAAACACTAGAAATCGAGACTAGCTTCCAACATCTTGCAATATATTCACTTGGACCGGTACGAGCTTCTGACATGGTTTCGCAAGGAGCGCCCCGTCGTCAATGCTGCAGTTTGTGTGTCAGGAATGAGGAAATTGGCTTTTTCTGCAGCCAATGCCCCACATAGTTGGCTTGAGTTGTTGAGCCTATGTTCCGAGGATCGTCAAGCAGCAGCGTGCAACGCACATGCTCGTTTCCTGCCGGGAGACATCGCCAATTGCCAGTCTTTGCAACATCGCCTGCTTGTTTACGTCTCCAAAGATTTCGTATTGACGGATGGACGGACCAGGACCCGCTGTGCCAGGGCTCAGGAGGAACATTTTCTGGTCGTCCAAAGACCCTACTTTCGGGTGCGTGCCGCACATTGTCCAACTTGGAGAACATGAGCCTTGATTCATATGACTGGCCTGGAAGTCTTGTATTGCAGATGGGTCTTGCATCTCAACCGAAACACTAGCAAGCCAGACCAGCTTCCAACATCTTGCAATATATTCCCTTGGACCGGTACGAGCTTCTGACATGTTTTCGCAAGGAGCGCCCCGTCGTCAATGCTGCAGTTTGTGCAATTAGGCATTCCTATCAAGAATCAGGAAATTGGCTTTTTCTGCAGCCAATGCCCCACATAGTTGGCTTGAGTTGTTGAGCCCATGTTCCACTATTCGCTTCGTGAAGCTGGCGAAGGTATGTATGCCTGCGTAGTGTTGCAGCACCTACTCTGCAAGGTACGCGCTGGTGGCATGGATGAGTTGTAATGCTGGGCCAGTGTTTGCATGATGTTGCTCTGAACGCGCACCTACGCAACGCACATTTGTTCCCAGTACAGCGGGTAGAGGTTTGCAGGCCATGCGGAGTTGAAGCAGGCCGAGGATGGTCAAGCAGCAGCGTGCAATGCACGTGCTCGCTTCCTGCCGGGAGACATCGCCACTTGCCGGTCTTTGCAGCATGTTCCCGAAAAGAACTGTAGCGGCTTGTCCCTGCTGTGGTGCGCTCCGGGCCAACCTGCAATGTGGTCCCCGGTGGCAGCACCCTGCGCAGTGCACGGTCCAGAGATGAAGCTGTTGGGAGCACCAACGTCTTGTCAGGACGCGCAGCTGCGCAATGCTTGTGTGTGTCCGCAGTTGCAGTGCTTCGAGGGTCCGAAGAAGAAGTTCCCTTACCAAAACAACTCCTGAGGATAACACCAAGGTGCGGCAGGCAGCGCATTTGATCGCAGCATCCCGGCCACAATCGCCAGTCGCCCGTGTGGGTGGCAGCACGTGCTTAGCAGCTTCGGAAGAGTGCTTCCCGCCGGGTGGACGGGCCGGGTCCCGCTGTGCCCGGGCTCAAGAGGAGCATCCTCTGGTTGTCCAGCACCTTACTTTCGGGTGCATGCCACACGTTGTCCAACTCAGAGAGCATCAGCAGTAAATATATTGTCTAGTCATGAGCATGCCCATCACCCATCAGCTGTCGAGCCTTGGTCCATACGACTGGCCTGGAACTCTTGCATTGCAGTTGGGTTCCGGGTTTTCGTGGAAATGCTTAACAGCACGACCCCATCAGGAGTAAACAGCTTCCCACCTTTTGTGAGATGTTCCGGGGCTCGTTCGGGGCATTCATTGCTCTTTCTTTTCTCTCACATGTCTTGCACGGGACGCCTCATGGTTGATGCTGTTTGCGCGGTCGGGCGTTCCTTCCAGGAAAGTGGCTTTCCACGCAGCCATCATGCCCAACATGACACAGTCGGTTTGAGTTCGTTGAGTGGCCGTCCATGTTGTTGCATCCTCTGCTTCATGAACCTGGTCAGAAGTATGTGCAGTGCTGCATGCAACGGTTTTTCTACAAGATGTGCAATTGTGGCATGGAAAAGCTGTTAGGAGCACCAAGCCAGTGTTGGCTTGATGTTGCTCTGAGCCTACGCAATGCTTGTCTGTGTCCACGGTCATAGCAGTACAGGTTTTCAAGCCACTGCAGTGCTCGGCTCGCTCAGTGCCAAGTCTCAAGAGGAGCATCTTCTGGCTGCCCAACACCCCACTTTCGGTTGCCGAACCTTGTCCGAGATGGAGAGCATGAGCAGTATTGAACTTGCAATAGCAGCATCCGGTCACAAGCATGTCCATCGCCCAGGGACGGCGGAGCCTTGAAGAGTATGATTGGAAAACCACGTTCCGTCAGCAGCAGCTTTCAACCTTTTACGAGATGTTCCGGTGGACTGGTTCGGGGATTTGTTCTGCATTCTATAGTCTCACTTTTGCACAAGTGCAGTTTTGCACAGTTGGGCATTGGGCATTCCCGAACGTCCCCTTTGGCTTGAGGTGCTGAAAGTTCCTTCCATGTTCCATCCTATGCCCCCGAGGCTTCATGAGCCTGGCCAGAAGTGTATGCACGACGGTGCAGCAGCTTGTCTGCCAAGATGCGCGCTTCAGGCACGAACAAGCTGCTGGGAGCGCCAGCGCATGCTGGGCCGCAGTGCTGGGCCAGTGTTGGCTTGATGCTGCTGTAAACTTGTGAACCCGCACTTGCACAATGCTTGTGTGTGCCCGCAGTCATAGGAGTGCAGGTTTGCAATCCAAGGCATGAATTCGAGAGTCCGAAGAAGTTCCCTCACCCGTATGATTCTTGAGAATACTGAAGGTGCAGCATGCAACTCACCTGCTCGCTTCGTGTATGTCGCCAGTCGCCAGTCTTGGCAGCATCGGCTATTTGCTTGCGTCTTCGAAGGAGCTCCGCAAGTCATCCTGACGGGTGGACCGGCCGGGTCCCACTGTTCCCAAGCTCAGGAGGAACATCCTCTGGCTGTCCAACACCCCACTTTCGGGTGCATGCCACGCGTCAACTTCGCAAGATCGAAATCCAGTCACAAGCATGTCCATCACCGGGGAATTGTGGAACCTTGGTTCACAGGCCTGGACTTCTTGAACAGCAGGTGGCCTTCAGACGCTAGCGCAAATGCCAGAGAGCGAGATCTCGTGAGCAGCAAGAAGAGTTTCCATCCTTTTGCGAGACGTTCCTTTGCACTGGTTCGGGCTATTGCTCGATCTGTTCTCTCCTATGCGAACGCCCCATCGTCAATTACTGCAATGTTCGCAGCTGGTCTTTCCAAGCAGCCAGAAGGCGCTATACACGCAGCCAGAATGAGCCACATGTCTGGCATGAGTTGTGAGTTCCTTCCATGTTCCATCCAATGCCCTCAAGGAGTCTGGACCTAGGCAGAAGCATGCCCAGCGCAGCAGCTTTTCGAAGATGCACGTTTGTGGCTTCGCTCTCGGAGCGCCCGTGATGCTGGGCCAGTGCTTGCACGATGTTGGTTGCTCTGGATGCGCACCTACGTCCTCGGTCCTAGCAGTACAGGTTTGCAGGCCATTGCAGTGCTTCGAGGGTCCAAGGAGTTCCTGAAGCACCCATACTATTCCTGAGGATGGCCAAGGCGCGGCGTGCGACGCACTTGTTCACCTCATGCCGGGAGACATCGCCAGTCACCAGTCTTGGCGGCATCGCCCTTTTTTTTGCATCTTTCGTGAGCTGCGGGCCAAATTGCAATGGGGTCAGGGTCACCTGAGGCGTCACGCGCGGTGCGGCACACCGCGGACGGTGGTGGGAATTTGTGGCAACAGGTGCCACTCAGCTTTCGATTCACCACTAAGCCATCATGCCCGACTTGGCAGATCCCTATGACGAGAGGAACTCCTCCCCACTTCGCCTGAGGCCAAAGCACATGCTTCAGCAGCTGGCAGCACCCGCACTTGCACAATGCTTGTGTGTGCCCGCAGTCATAGGAGTGCAGGTTTGCAATCCAAGGCATGAATTCGAGAGTCCGAAGAAGTTCCCTCACCCGTATGATTCTTGAGAATACTGAAGGTGCAGCATGCAACTCACCTGCTCGCTTCGTGCCGCGAGATGTCGCCAGTCGCCAGTCTTGGCAGCATCGGCTATTTGCTTGCGTCTTCGAAGGAGCTCCGCAAGTCTTCCTGACGGGTGGACGGGCCGGGTCCCACTGTTCCCAAGCTCAGGAGGAACATCCTCTGGCTGTCCAACACCCCACTTTCGGGTGCATGCCACGCGTCAACTTCGCAAGATCGAAATCCAGTCACAAGCATGTCCATCACCGGGGAATTGTGGAACCTTGGTTCACAGGCCTGGACTTCTTGAACAGCAGGTGGCCTTCAGACGCTAGCGCAAATGCCAGAGAGCGAGATCTCGTGAGCAGCAAGAGTTTCCATCCTTTTGCGAGACGTTCCTTTGCACTGGTTCGGGCTATTGCTCGATCTGTTCTCTCCTATGCGAGCGCCCCATCGTCAATTACTGCAATGTTCGCAGCTGGTCTTTCCAAGCAGCCAGAAGGCGCTATACACGCAGCCAGAATGAGCCACATGTCTGGCATGAGTTGTGAGTTCCTTCCATGTTCCATCCAATGCCCTCAAGGAGTCTGGACCTAGGCAGAAGCATGCCCAGCGCAGCAGCTTTTCGAAGATGCACGTTTGTGGCTTCGCTCTCGGAGCGCCCGTGATGCTGGGCCAGTGCTTGCACGATGTTGGTTGCTCTGGATGCGCACCTACGTCCTCGGTCCTAGCAGTACAGGTTTGCAGGCCATTGCAGTGCTTCGAGGGTCCAAGGAGTTCCTGAAGCACCCATACTATTCCTGAGGATGGCCAAGGCGCGGCGTGCGACGCACTTGTTCACCTCATGCCGGGAGACATCGCCAGTCACCAGTCTTGGCGGCATCGCCCTTTTTTTTGCATCTTTCGTGAGCTGCGGGCCAAATTGCAATGGGGTCAGGGTCACCTGAGGCGTCACCCTGCGCGGTGCGGCACACCGCGGACGGTGGTGGGAATTTGTGGCAACAGGTGCCACTCAGCTTTCAAATTTAACCACTAAGCCATCATGCCCGACTTGGCAGATCCCTGTGACGAGAGGGAGTTCCTCCCCACTTCGCCTGAGGCCAAAGCGCATGCTTCAGCCCATGGCAGCCTGCACCTCACGGTGCCTCCCTCCTGGCTTTCTTTCGAGGGGAACGTCATGCCCATGTTTGGACTCTTCGTAGCCGAGCCCGGTGCCTGACGTCCTGACGTGACACGCCGACCGCGACTGATGCGACTGCATATGACTGCACCTTCCAAGGTGAGCGGTGGTGCGTGGAGTGGGCGCCAGTCCTGTTCTTGCTGCTTAACGCCGAGCGGGCTTCGCGGCCCACCCAGAAGTCGTACCCCTTCTTCCTGCAGGCTCTGACTCACGAGACGGATGTCTCTTTGCAATCGGATGCTGCTTCTCGTGGTGCTTGCTGCTAGCGGTTCTGCCGCCCACGCATGTGCCCTGGTTGGCCCTCTCCAAGTCAGCGACGGCCATGCCGGGACCTTGTGCACCAACATCAGCAACTCGCAGCCGTGATGTTCCCGGCCGGCCGGCCGGATTGTGATAAAGGTGGCAGGCGGCAGGCAGTTGTGGCCTCCTGTTTGTTTCCGGCCATGACATGCTGAACTCGTGCTGTCGGCCGGCGGGCTGCGCAAGAGCGCCGTGTTCTGTGTTGAAGTGCCTCGAGGACACACCCTTGGGTGTGGCTCAACAATTCATTCAGGGCAATGTGGCAGGCTCCATCAGGCTCCGGGCCAAGTGCGAGATGTCTGTTGGCTTGAAGCACAGATGTCTTTGCGACAAACCCCTCTCCACGACAAGCCCCATGTCCACTCTCGGCACGGAGGACTCAAAGACGGCGTTGCAATGTACTATTCAAAATGCCCTATGCGAGATGGGTCTGTGACAGAGGGTGGAGACATAACTGTACCCCGGTATGTTGTTTCACAGCCATGCGCAGGAGCCTCTTGTTTATGCAATGGCCTCATGGTGTCGCTGAGCTTGCATCAGGACCGACTTGCCACGGAAAAAAAAAAAAAAACTCAGGGTCCCTTGTCTGGCGTCCCCACCTTAGGCATGCTCAGAATGGTCGGTCGATGTGCGAAGATCCCAAAGTCCAAACATGCCAAACCTTCACGCCCTAAGCCGAAGTCAGGACTGTGTTTGATGAGGGCCCTTTCTTCTGGGAAGTCCAATGTGGGATTCCTGTCTTCTCGGCCCATAGGCTTTAAACATGATGATGCCAGCGAAGACCCTAAACAGTGAGTTCACACAGAAGCCGCATATCTCTGTGCCAGAGAAATGGAAGAGTCTTTGATCTAACGAGAAACAGTTGCCAAACACATTTCGGGCGACGAAAACTTGAGGAAAGAGAGCTGCATGCATTTAGCATGGGCAATGCAACATTCGTTCTTGGGCTACCTGCCCGAGGCCCTTGTTTTCTATGCAAGGCGCTTAAGGTTGATTTTTGAAGGAGCTGATTGCTCGAAAATATTTAACCAACCATGTGAGCATATGAGCGACCATCCAAATTAGGGTTGATTAGTTCTAGTAAGGGATGGACATCAATATATATATAGAAAATGATAACCCCAATATGATGATAAATATATACGACATAGGCATGGCCCAGGCGTATACGACATAGGAATTTTATATGAAATTAATGGAAGAAAATTTCAATTTAGAGAACGATATGGGATACGTAGAAAATGATAACCCCAACATCCATATCTTTCAGCTTAACAAATAATATTGACCGTTGGGCATATGGTTTCTTACGAAATATCGAATGTTTCTCCGGTTCTAGAATTGATGATTATTATATATTTTTGATTTCGATTTTTTGCTATATTATTAGGATATTCTCGCTCAACTCACGAAGAAAATCACATATCTTATGAATCTCTAGCATATATTCGTGACACTTCAAGACCAAAACGAGCAAGTTTCCTCCAGCCATTCCAATGAATCTAAATAAAGGAAGAAAAACAGAGGCGGGTGGCCGCGACCGGCCCACGTGAGTACAAAGGGGGAACCTTTTAGGATTAAAATCAGGGTGCCGTGGAGGGGGTTGGGGTTTAATGACCCTAAACCCTAAACCCTAAACCCTAAACCCTAAACCCTACACCCTAAACCCTAAACCACTTCAACCCTAAACTCTAAACCAGGGGTTGGGGCTTAGGGCCTTTGGGGCAACTCGGGGGCTTTTGGGGCACCCTAAGCTATATACTATATGTACAGAGAGAGAGAGAGAGAGAGAAAGAGAGAAAGACCATGCTCTGCTAGGAGGTTTAATCTCAGAAAAGCAAACTTCAAGCAACCTGGGGAGAGGAAATGAGCAAATGTACTTTTGAATCGGAGAACCATGTATGTACGGACTGTAATGTGAGCCCGAAACCCCTACGCCCTAAACCCCAAACTCCACACTGGGCTTTACTCCCACTCCCCCCCACCTTATGTTTCTTCCTAATTCTTAGGTAGCACTGTAAGCCAACCCCACATCCCAGCCACCACCCAAATTCATAACCCTCATCCAAAACACGACCTCCTTTCTGCCCGAACCCAGACAACGATTCTATCCTCTACCCATACAAAACTCTCTCAGTCCCAAACGGCGGCAGCCAGGTCCGCACCCTTTTTTCAACAACCAAACGCAACCTGAACTCGGAGTAGCCTTCTCCCTTATCCAGCCGCAAGTCCTCAGTAGCACGCCGAAGCTTTCAAAAAACATGTTTCCAGGTATGGCCCGCTTAGAGCTCCACCAATGAAGCTCGCGCACGATCCCTCATGAAACCTGAGGACATCCTGCCGACTTAACTTACGTGAGGCTTTCCGGCCTGACGTGCGCCTCCATCATTCTACACAGCTTCGCTCCAATCGTGCGGATTCGACCCGGCGCATGCACCTGCGCCATTTCACGGTACGTCTGGCCCGTAAATCGGTATATTCACTGTATATCTCATATCACCATGACCTTCACGTACTTGCGCGACCGTCACACGGCCACTCAGCAAGTGTCGGTGCAACCCATGTTGTGTGCACATCTTCAGTATCTGCATCCAAGCAGCCACGTTCTTCAAGTGCTAGAAGCTTGTTTCAACCAAATGCCAACCACCCAAGGCACATATGGATTGCAGAACAGAAGAGGAACGTATGCGACACAGCTGGGAAACCTAAAATATGAGGCACCAAAAACTCGAGCGAGTGTCCAAACCATTGTGCCAATCATTCTGCTCCACACTGGCTGCTCCCCCAACCACACCTGAAAGCCGATAGTTCCCCTGCTCATCTGATCGTCCACCGCTCTGCGGAAAGCGATTGTTAAAATGGGGGGCCTCGCCCAGTTAAATGAAGTCCCCAATGCATCGAGGCCAATGGCGAGAAAGAACGCCTGCAAGTGCCAGAAAGAACCCTCAATTACTTTAGGAAGCAAAGATGCATGCCCAGCAGCTGTCAGGTTACGTTCCTGCGGCAATACACACATGTCCAAACAGCAGCTGCTCCACAGGCCAAATGCCACAAAAATGTCAAACGAACCACTTGCAAGCAGTCCCCATCGATACGCACCTCGAAGGAGCAAGAGCACCTGGATGTTCCAGCCAGCCAGAGCCGACATCTCTGGTGTCCAACCGAAACACTTGATGTTCCTGTCCGCGCCGGCTTCGAGGAGCAAGCGCACAACCTCAACGTGGCCAGCGGCGCAGGCCGCGATAAGCGGGGGAAATACATCACCGAAGATGTTCGGATCCACTGGCAGCTGCAGAATCTCCTCAGCAACAGCAAGGTTGCCAGCAGCACACGCTTCCGTAAGGGCCAAAACCCTCGGTCGCCATGACTGAAGCTGGTCTGAACAGGCGTTGAAATAGGGCAGAAGAACAATCTGCAAGTCGATGGGTGCTGCTAGCCCATTTAGGCGATCGCTGTCTTCTAGCACACAGCCATTGTGTATGAGCCGCTGTCTGAACCGCGAATGCCCACAAAGCCGATGTAGGCGCTTTTTCAGCGCCCGCACACTTTTCACGTCCGCCACAGGTAGCGTCGCCAAGGCCTCGCCTGCAGTTGTCCACACAACCACCTGTCGAGCTGACATACTTGCAGGTTCATGGGTACTTGCAACCCCAAGTCATGAGTCTACTTCTAGAACCTACTTCGAGGACGTAAGGGGCTTCTAAGTACAGCTATAGCTGGGGTGACACGAAGCCGACCCAAACCCTGGGGTTTTCAGGGTTTTCAGGGTTTAGGGTCTTCAGAGTTTAGATAGGATGTCGCTCGCGGAAACTGGCTGAACCTGAAGTCTCGGCATATGTGGCACTGCCCTTGAGCCACGAACTCTTCCAAGCAAAGCTGTGAGGAGCTTTTCTGGGGTTGAGTGTAAGGTTAGGTTGAAAGACAATACACGGCCTCTTGCCAGATCAAATACCGCCGGGCCCTACGCCAAGCGAATGAACCCGACACTCCGATGGCATTCGGGACTTAGGTTTAGGGCTAAGGGTTAAGGGTTAAGTGGCAACAGAACCAGCAAAGCACAATGCACAACAGACTGCAAACGCGGACACAGCAACAAACAACCAATCATCGAACTCAGCATGCGAAAATAATAACCCCCCTTATGATCATCTTCTACAACTAAACCCTAAACCCTAAACCCTAAACCCTAAATGGGGCATGAAGTGAACTGGGAGATGACCCATTGCTTGCAACTCCCTAAAGCCTAAGCCCTAAACCTTTCTATGGCCTCGTCTAGGTCCCCCAGCTGGGAGGGGATCCGAAACTTGGAAGCCCCCCCCCCCCCCCCCCCCCCCGGTTTAGGGTTCAGAGTTTAGGGCTTAAGGTTCAGGGTTTAGGGTTTAGAGTTAAGGTTTAGGGCTTTAGGAGTAGGGTTTGGACCCCCCCACTTCCCCCCCACTTGCGGAAACAGGTCAGGAAGCTTTAGGTTCAGGGTTCAGGGTTCAGGGGTCAGGGTTCAGGGGTCAGGGTTCAGGGTTTAGGGTTTAGGGTTTAGGGTTTAAGGTTTAGGGCTTAAGGAGTAGGGTTTGGAGCTCTACGAGCAGACTCTACCCCAAAAAACCCAAACCTAAAACCAATCAAGAAACCAACCCCCCCTTGGGAGCGTGCCATAGCTTCTTTCGGCTTTAGGGTTTTCGGGGCGTTAAACCCTAAACCCTAAACCCTAAACCCTAAACCCTAAACCCTAAACCCTAAACCCTAAACCCTAAACCCTAAACCCTAAACCCGAAACTCAACTTGACGGCTTCTTCTAGCCCCGGGGCTTCCGAGGCCCAGGCCCGAGCGAGAGGCATCATCCGACATGCTTCGATACGCCCCTTGGGATACCCGCACTGGCCGCGGTGAGCACCCTAAACCCTAAACCCTAAACCCTAAACCCTAAACCCTAAACCCTAAACCCTAAACCCTTGAATCCTAAAACCAAGGCTTCCTCCGCGCTCTTCAAGAGTTAGGGTCGTCTCGCAACGTCGCCTAGCACCTTGCGAGGCATCACGTCGAACAGGAAGCTTTGTGAAGTGCAACACCCAGGTTCTAATTCACCCTAAACCCTAAACCCTAAACCCTAAAATCTTATCACTAAACCCTAAACCCTGTAAACTATAAACCGTATTGACTCTATAAAGCCTATAAACCGCACCATAGGAGCCGAGAGCCTTCGAAACTGCTCGTCCCAGTCTCTTCGAGAAGACGGCTGCAGTCATCCGGAAGGAAGATGGGGGGTTTCCGAAATTAGGGTGTCCTTGCTAGGGGTCCCTTTGAGGATTCTATTCTAGTTGGGGTAGGGTACCCGTGTTTCGGGAAATGCTTCTAGATCAGCAACTCTCGTTAACTTGCGGAGCCGTTTTTTTTTTTTTTTTTTGGGGGGGGGGGGGGTACCCGAACGATAAGGCTAATGGGCATTTGGTGGTCTACCCTAAACCCTAAACCCTAAACCCTAAACCCTAAACCCTAAATGTATGGGGGGTAGCCGAATCAGAGCCGGGAGCCCTAAATGGAAACCTGAAGCGAAGAGCTCACTCGGGCTTCAGCTAGAGGGTTCGGGTTTTGGCTTGGGGTTTAGGGTTTAGGGTTTAGGGTTGAGGGTTCAGGGTTCAGGGTTCAGGGCTTAGAGCTTAGGAAGCCACATTCCAAGCACGGTTTGCATGGTCCAAGGGGCCCGTGTCCCCAGAAAGCCGGACGCCAAACCGCCAAATGCGGCACGAAACATGCGGCCCAAGCCGCGGAAATCAACAAAAAACCCTGAACCCCAAAACCCTAAGCCCCACAAACCCTAAACCCTAAAATCCTAAGGAGCTTACGATTTTGGCGCTGCAGGCCTTTGTCATGCGCGGGCGTTGAACTGCGTCTTAGCTGTCATCCTGGTGTGCTTGGTGGGACCTGCGAGACTAAGTGGAGGGTTTAGGGTTTATGGGCTATGGGTTTAGGGTTTAGGGTTTAGGGTTTAGGGTTTAGGGGGGTTTGGGGCAAAGGGAAAAGGGAATGGGGTTTACGTTTTGAGGGAAGTCACCCTGTAACCAAGAAAAGCACACCCACACAGTTCACATACTTGTCGCACTTCATACGTGACGCACAGGACACTCACCCTAAGCCCCAATCCCTAAACCCTAAACCCCAAACCCGAAACCCTCCACCCCCAACCCTAAACCCTAAACCCTAAACCCTAAACCCTAAACCCTAAACCCTAAACCCTAAACCCTAAACCCTAAACCCTAAACCCTAGACTTTCGTGTTTGGGGGTGTAGGGAACCCACGAGTTCGCCTAACCCCACACCCCTAAACCTGCCTGCTCATGCATTCCGTGGAACCCCCCCCTGCTTCAAAGCGTAGAACAAAGCAGACCCGGCCTAAACCCTGAACCCTGAACCCTGAACCCTGAACCCTAAACCCTAAACCCTAAACCCTAGACCCTAAACCCTAAACCCTAAACCCTAAACCTGCCCGCCTGACACCCTAGGGTTTAGGGTTTGGGTGCTCGTCGCCCCATACCCTTTCGTGTATGCTTGTGGGGGCACCTTAGGACTAAAGGAAAGTACCATTCTCCCCCAAGCCACATAGAGTATGAGTATGGTGTTTGGGTCCCTAAACCCTAAACCCTAAACCCTAAACCCTAAACCCTAGACCCTAAACCATAGGGAAATACCCTTATATACCCTAGACCTTACATAGGGGTGTAGTAGCTTTGCCCTGTAGGACCTCCGAAAGATGTTCCTACTTTAAGCACAACAAATTTCTGTCCCAAGCCCTAAATCCTAAACCCTAAGCCCTCAACCCCAAAGCAACAGTCCAGGTACATTCTTTTGTTTAGGGTTTAGGGTTATAGGGTTATAGGGTTATAGGGTTATAGGGTTATAGGGTTATAGGGTTATAGGGTTATAGGGTTATAGGGTTATAGGGCTATAGGGTTATAGGGTTATAGGGTTACAGTGTTACAGTGTTACAGGGTTCAGGGTTCAGGGGCTAGGGTTTAGGTCTCACTTAAAGTCCACCCGCTTCAGAAGATAGAGGCCCACCCGCGAGTGCAGGACTCTCGAACCTCAAGCGTGCACCGGCAGTTTCTGCCAACAGTTGTGCAGCTTGTGCACAATTCTGGAAGGGCTTTGGGTTAAGGGCTTAGAGGCTTTCTGGGGATTTAGGCCGTAACTATAGCGTTTCTGGCCTAGGGTTTAGGGTTAGACCCTAAACCCTGAGCCCTAGACACTTGTAATTAAGGCAAGGGTCCACTCTAAGACCGTGCAGTCAGCCCACATGATATGCACATGCCTTCATCGTGCTCAGGGTTTAGGGTAGGGAGTTGAGGGTTCAGGGTTTAGGGTTGCATGCACCACTAGCCAACCGCCCGATAAGCTGCAACCAATGCGCCGCCGCCGCGAATTTCATGCACTTCGGCCGGCCGTCATCTGAAGCTCATTGTCCTGAGGTTAAAGGGTTTGGGGTCTGGGCAAAGCGGGTTTAGGGTTTAGGGTTTAGGGTTTAGGGTTTAGGGTTTAGGGTTTAGGGTTTAGGAACGTCTCTTCTCAGTTTGAGGCTCGGGAGCGACTTGGCTTTCCAAGATCAGAAGCAGATGAGTTGCTGTCTGTCCTAGGGAGGTCCAAATTTGTAGTATACGGAGGTAGCTACGCAGAAACCATGCTAAACAGTGCTTGTGGTCGCCAAAGCCGAAACCCTCAACTTAGCCTAAACCCCCCAAACCCTAAACCGCAGCCCTCTCGTCGCTTGTAGTTGTAGGGCTTCTAAGCCGACCCTAGACCACTCCGCCCGGAGTCAAAGCCCTCGGTGGCTCCGTTTCTTCATTTAGGGTTTAGGGTTTGGGGTTCAGGGTTTATGGGGTTTAGGGTTAGGGTTGCCGAGGAGGTTTCCCTAAACTCAAAAATCTACACCCATCTGGGCCCCGACACGCTCGGGCTGGGGTGTGTACTTAGTGAGGGAGTTAGGGTCACCCTGAACCTTAAATGGAGCTCCAAGGCCCTTTTGAGGACTTTAGGCACGCTTTATAAGGCCTAGGGATCTCAAAGCCCTGAAGCCCTGAAGCCCTGAAGCCCTAAACCCTAAACCCTAAACCCTAAACCCTAAACCCTAAACCCTAAACCTGAAGCCCTCCACCCTTGAAGCTTTTTAGGGTGCTTTCAGTGGTTCAAGCTGGTAGAGCGGCACAGTAGGGCTGCTTGGGGTTTAGGGTTTAGGTCTATCTAAACCCTAAGCTGTCTAAACCCTGCATTCTGATCCCGAAACCCTATAGAACAACAACCCAGCACCTTGCAACCCTGAGCACGTGAACAGCGTAGATGAGGGCCCCCGGCGGGTAGGCTGAGTAGGTTGAGCTCAAGCGATCTGCAATGCAAAGGCTTCGAGGTTTGGGGTGCTAATGAGGGCTGAGGATTGAGGGTTCAGGGTTTAGGGCACAAGAAACATGTAACCTTGCGGTTTCTAGGCCGTGTGCGAAAGGGCCCCCATTGAGAAGTAGACTCATCAGTGTCCCTAAATTGGGCTCTAAGGGTATGAGGTTTAGGGTGGCCCTAAACTATGCCCTCAACCCGTCTGTGCTTTTTTTGGACAAACAGGGCTTCGGGCTTAGGGTTTATCGCG